CCCCAAAACCCCAAAACCCCAAAACCCCATTGTTAAAAATTTCATTGAAACAACATGATTAAATAATGATATTTAGTTGTTATTCTGATATTAAACATGCTATAGTTATTAATTAATATAATAGGTTAAGCTTAAGCTTCAAATGTCTCGCAAAGATTTCCTAAAGATTATAATTATTGGCGACTAAGGTGTAGGTAAGACTTCCCTTCTAGAAGCTTATACGTTAAACGGGCTTTCTCAACATTCCAAGCCAACAATCGGTGCAGAATTTAAAAAGAAAGTCATTACCTTAGGTGATTCTCCTACTCCTCTCTATAAAGGAGTCGAACTGAACCTTTAGATATGGGATACAGCTGGGCAAGAAAGATTTTCAAGTCTCTCTACCTAATTTTACAGGGGTAGTGACTGCTGTATTCTAGCATTCGATCTTACAAATAAAGAGTCATACGATCACTTACATAAATGGATAGATGTAGTATAGGAAACGACAGGAGATCAAGGAATTCCGATTATTCTAGTTGGCAATAAATGTGACAAGATCAATGAAAGATCAGTAAGTAATGAGACAATACAATAGTAATGGGTACAGTCAAACAAAGTGCAATAATATATTGAGGCAAGTGCTACTAAGTTCTTGGGATTAGAATAACTATTTCACTCTGCTGGCTATTATGGATTAGTTTTTTCAGTTAAATACAATTCTTGGGCTTAATAATAAAGTGACAGCAATTGCTCCATGAGTTTAGTTGAAACTAAAATAAAATAAATCTTAAGTTCCAGCACAAATATTACTCAGGAGAGGGCTGATAGCAGTAGTTCTGATATCTAAAGTAGTCAAAAGAGAATCATTTTAAATAAAAAATAACTGGAAGCTAACAAAGAAAAGCATAGGAAAGGTAAATGCTGAGTTTTATTTTAATGATTAAGATACATCAGCTAAGTATATGATTGAAATCCTTTCATTTATTAACATCGAATGATTATTTATTTAGGAATATTCCAAATCCTTTAAATTTCATATTTAAGTAATTTCATTATTTTACTCTTTAATAATTATAGTGCTTAGTGGGGTTTTGGGGTTTTGGGG